CATGGGTATAAGAGCGAGCAGTCTTAAACTACATGTTGTTGTTTTGTTGTTGCTGTTGCTGTTGCTGTTGTTGTTGTTGTGGTTGTTGTTGCTTTTGAATTCTCATTGTTGAAAAGCTGTTATGGTTTACCCCCTCACCGGTGCACACTGTGGTTTTCCAAGTCAAGTCCCCCTGGTGCTCGCACCCCGTTCAAACTATGTTGTTGCCCCCCAGCTACAATAATTGTTCCCGCCTGACACCTTCTCACCATTTATTGAGAGATCGCGCTCTCGCGCAGGACTTCCTCAACATGTATGCAGGAGTCGCGCTCTCGCATGGGGCTTCTTCGCAATGTATTCAGACGCCGCGCCCTCGACATTCAGGAAGCAGCTCTCGCCCCCGCTTTTCCGACGATTTACTTGGAAATCGCGCTGTCGCTCGAGACTTCCTCGCGATTCATGCAGGACTCGCGCTTCAGCAACCCGCCTGCTTGAACTGGTCGACTGGGCCCGCCTTCCCGACCCGACCGCTAGGGTCTACCCGCCCGATCAGCCCGTGTGGCTCTGCCGCGTGTTTTCTGCTCCTAGCCCCCCTCCTGCGAATGTCTCTCGTGCTCCTTCCCTTTCCATCCCCCGTCCATCCGTCCTCTCTTCCCCTGTTTTAGGGGCTGCGCTGCATGCGCGTGCTAGGTAAGGATGATATAGCTCCAAGAGGGCACGGTCGAAGACGAAGAGGGCGGGTACTGAGGGTTGAGATACACGGCACGCGAGCAGGCAGACAGGAGCGAATAGTTCTTAAATGACAAATAAGTACCGTTGACCCCTCCAGGTGCACATTGCATTTGTCAATTGAAGGTCTCCTCCCGGCCTCGCGCTCTGTTGCTTACAAGGAAAATCTGTTAGTTCAGGCACAACATCGCCTCCCGCTTGAGACCTCCTCGCAAAGTATTCCAACGTCGCGCTCTCGCGGGGGACGTCCTGACAGTTTACGCAGGAATCGCGTTCTCGCGTGGGACTGCCTGCCAAATTATTCAGTCGCCGCGCCCTCGACACTCAGGAATCACGCCCTCGCTTAGGCTTTTATCGCGATTTACGTGGAAATCGCGCTATCGCTCGAGGCGCTCTCGCGATTAATGTAGGACTCGCGCTTGAGCAGCCCGCCTGCTCGACCTGGCCGCCATGGCCCGCCTTCCCGACCCGCCCACTAGGGTCTGCCCGCCCGATCAGCCCGTCTGGTTCTGCCGCGTACTTTCTGCTCCTAGCTCCCCTCCTGCGAATTTCTTCATGTCTCTCGTGCTTCATCCTTCTCTCTCCCCCGTCCATCCGTTCTCTCTTCCCCGATGTTCGGGGTTGCGCTGAATCCGCGTGGCAGGTACCGAAGATATCCTCCAAGGGTGTACGATCGAAGACGGAGAGGGCGGGCCTCGAGGGTTTGGGATACATACGTGGTGAATGGCACGCGAGCAGATAAGAGCGAATTGTCTAACAAATATTGTTGTTGTTGTTGCTGTTGTTGCTTCTATGATGTTGGGAAATAAGCATCGCCCACCCACACTTGTACAATGCGTGCGTCTGCACCCCGAAGAGCGACGCCCGCGCCGAGAAATCTTCTAGTATACGTTCGGTGGCGGGCACGTTCTGGCGATATCGCCTGGGTCACGATGTACCGCAAGACGTTTGCACTATACTACGTTCGGCCTGCGCCTCCAATGGTGGCGCATGGTACTTGTATGTCCTTCTGCACCCCAGCACAGTGCATCGGCCCAGGCTTCTCGGGCTGATCGCTCCTCACTCGCAGCCTCGACTGGTCTCGCGCGCGGGAGTAACAGACGCCTGGCGTGGGCGGCCTCCTTGGGAGGCGGGAGCGGGGGACGCAATGGGCTTGGATCCCCCCCGGAGGCACAACAGGCCTGATCCTAGGACCCCGTAGCTTTATACGCCTCTCAGAAGGGGTCCGAGCAGATGGGGTCGGAAGATCGCACCGCATCGCCGATGCATCTTCGATGTATCGCCGAGGCATCGGCTATGCGACGCGCTCTGAACCCGTCTACTCGGACCCCATCTAGGAGGCCTCTGGTATTGAAAGTTGCAAGACGTCGGAGACCTGGGGATTGCAGGCCAAAGCCATGCCACATCCCATTGGCTCTTAGATGATCCTGGCTTTCGCTCTTTCGCTTCCCATGCGCTTCTGAGGCCTTCAAGCTGCTCCAAGACCGCCACCGGTGGCTCAAAGTGCGGCCCAGAAGGGCTCTGGCGGCTCCCAGGAGCGCTAGACGCCCAGGCCTGGCCACAATCCGCACACCCATGCCTGCCTGCCTTCTGGCCTCGCGACGTCGTTGGCGGTGGGCCACGGAGCTTCGCACTCCGCCGCACCGCCCGTGACGGGCGAGGCGTCCCGCTCGAAGGGGCCCAGACTTTGGTGCCAGGCCCGGCCCGCCCGCCCGTCAGGGTTCGCCGGCTCCCCTCCCCCCCACACCGCCGACCACAGCTCGGAGAACAAACTGAGACACAGACATAAAAACTTGGAGGTCCTCGCGGATTCCTCGGATCGGCGCTACGGCCCCCTGGCGGCGCCTCAAGCACCGCCCCGGGCGCGCTCCGCGCGCCAGGCAGGGGGGTCCAGCGCCGATCCGAGGAATCCGCGCTGCCCTCAGAGCCGTTTCTGTTCATGTCGTCGCTTGCTCCCGTCGTAGCTTCGGCCCGCGCTCGCCCGTCTGCATACCGAGCGACGAGACCGACCCAGAAAGGATCCCGATCTCCTGGGCCCCATTTGGCAGGCCCAGAAGGGACCCCAGAAGGGACCCTAGACGGGACTCCTCGGACGCCCACCGTTCGGAGGGGTCTCCCAGATCGAGAGGCTGCGAGGGACCCCGATTTGCAGACCCGGGCGAACACGCCGCCCCGCGGACGTCCGCAGTGCACGGCTGTCGCGCGCGGTAAGAGCGCTGCAAGGAGTGCAGAGGCACATCTTATTTCGAAGGAGGAAGAGCGGCACGCATGCCCATACGACTTCCCTTCGGGTAGTGAGAAGGTTCGGGGAAGAGGAACAAGCGTCTTCACTCCTTCACTCGATAGGTCTCACAATGGGTCCACTGCCGATCTGACTTTCGGTCTCACCATCCATCTGACCCGATCGATCTCAAGCGAACTCACTCGACCGAGGCCGCAATCTTTCTCACTTTCGATATCATGATCGATCGCACTATCCATGTCACTCGCGAACTCACGATCGATTTCGCTATCGATCTCACGGTCGATCCCAAGACTGATCTCACTATCGATCCGAGTACAGTTAGCTCATCGTTTTCATTCCATTCTCATTCTCGATCATACTTTCGATATCACCATCGAGCCCACTGATCTTACAATCGATCTCACAATCGGTCTCATCGACATCACTTTTCGATGCCTCTATCGCTATTATTTCCGAACTTACGATCGATATCACTACCGATCTCACAAACGATCTCACGATCGATCTCACTATCGATCTCACTATCGATTTCACGATGGAACTTTGTATCGATCGCACTCTCGATCTCACGATCGATCTCACCACGGGGCAACACAGGACACCGACGGACACCGACTGGACAACGACGGGACACGAACGGGAAACCGATGCGACACCGACGGGATACTGGCCGGACACCGACGGAACACCGACGGGTTACCGACGGGACACCGACGGGGCGCCGACGGGACACCGACGGGGCCCCGACGTTTCACCGACAAGGCACCGACAGGACACCCCTGGCAACCGTCGGCCAATCGGGGTGGGCGCGTCTTTTGGTCGGGCCGCGCTCTAGCCAGAGGAGAGTGCACTCCCTTCGCCCGCCCACGCAGCTTCGCCTCGCCCGCATTCACGACACGAAACCGAAACCGATTTCCCAGTGGGGGGCTCTCCGTTCATTGCGACTTCACCTCCCCACATCCGACAAATTTTCGCAACTCCAGGCGGATTTCTTAGGTCGGCGCTGGGCCCCAGCAGCGACGCTTCCAACGCCGTCCCAGTCGTGCACATCGCGCCAGGGAGGGCGGTCTAAGAAATCCGCACGGACATCTCACAAGCCTATGCTCAGACCATTTTTTCTTTGTGTATGAATGCCGGGGCGCATCCGTCGTCCATCTTTTAACTTCATCAAACGGCCCCAGGACTTCTTCGGATCCCTTGGGGCCTCGGGGGATCGTTTCGGCTCAAGGAGCCGCTCGCCAGGCCCCATCCTGGACGCCGCCCTGACCAGCGTTTCAAGCTGCGTCCAGCCCGTCATGAGACCCTCTGGCGCCCGCCGGACGCTGTCCTGGCCGCCTTTTCGAGCTGCGCCCATTCGAGGCCACGAGAGGCCTTCAAGAGGACGTCAGAACCCCTGAAGTGCCAAAATGCCACGTCAGGCGGAGCTGCTGGTCGACACGGAAGTTAGGCAAGTGAGGCACATGGCGGCGCGGACGAAGGAGGGCAGCGAGCGGGGCGGGCTTCTAAGCAGGCGGGAGGTTTCTTAGAAGGCGGGGGCCTCCGCAGAGGGGTCAGGAGGCCTCAAGGAATACCTCGCAGAAGCAGGGAGGTCTTTCGACATCCCTCCTGCCGTCTTAGGAGCGCCCCCCCCCCCGCACGCTTAGAATGCCTCCTCCCTCGCGCCACCCCCTGGAGCGCGCCGCCAAAACTCAGACCCTCGACGTCTTGCGTGCTTTGCTCGCACCAGAGGTCTCGACCCATTTCCCCTCCGGTGCGGCTTTTCATGCTGCTGGCTGAGTCGTTGCTTGGCAGCCCTGGGGTCAGATTTGGTACCACCAGAGACCGAACATAGGCAAAAGCCTTCCAACGTATTTTCTTCATTATGCCACTGGGTCTGAGGAGGGAGGGGGAGGCCTGCGTCAAAGGTCCACCCCAAGACCTGTCCCAGGGTGCGTTCCGATCAGGTTCGCGCGAGACGGATCCAGCCGTGGCGACCTGGCAGGACAGAACATGCCCAGACTGCCCCCTAGACCTCTGTCCTCGAAGCCTCGAACTTCGACGCCCCGAGGTGGAGTGGCCGTTCGACGGCGTGCCTCTCACGCCGGGCACCTTCGACGCGCACGAGCGCCGCTACCAGGCCGAGATCCGGCGGGTCGCGGAGTTCCGGCGCCGGGGCCGGTGCGACGCGCAGCGGCCCGCGCACCCCCTGCGCCCGGCGGCCTGTGCAGGCCTGGCTGCCCGCCGCCTGCTGCGCAAGAGGTCGGCGGCGGCCAGGGGTCCGAGGTGGCCCAGCACTGGTCCCGACCAGGAGTTCGAAGACGGGGAGGCGGGGGACCTTTTCGTCCTTTGTGGACCTCCTGTGGGCTTCTCGTCGCCACGGCCCATGCTGCGCAGACGCCCCAGCTGCCTGCTGCGGAGAAAGGATGTGGTGCGGCCATGAGCGCCGAGCGTGTTTATATTCTGGCCCTCGTGGTCTGCATACGCGCGATCCCATGGATACTCGCGCGCGTGTTCCAAGGCGGGGGGGGCGTACGAGTTGCAACCTAGCTGTGCCAATGATTCCGTTAAACTTTCTTTCGTGCTCATGTGTGTGTGTGTCCCCTGTGCCAACCACTTTCCTCGCACACCCGCAGCGGGTGGCGTCAGGCAGCCCTCGGATGAAAATACATAGCTCCACAGCGTTCGCACAAGTTCTACAGCGCGTCGCGGCAGTTCTAAGGGAGTCCCGATGTATCTTCCTGTAGAATGTCCCCTCATCCCGCGTTCGTCGTAGAGAGGCGAATAAGGAGGAAGAGGAGGAGGAGGAGGACGAGGAGAAGTTTCCGGCCTCGGTCGATTTCCTGTTCGAGTCGGCCCTCGTCTCATGTCACTACTGGGTGAGCGCATGCTACACGCCCTTGCAGGCCTCCCATGCTATTTCATTGTATCTCTCGCTGCTTGTAAACAAAAGCCACCTGTGCTCACTTAGCTTTCTTGCGTCGGCCACAGCACCTGAGTCAGTACTCGTTTTTCCCCTGTGGACGCTGCGGCTCGCGCGAGCCTACGTTGGTTCAGCGCAAACAAAGGGGCGAGGTTTGGGAATTTCAGGGGGGCCGCGGGTTTCTGGCGTTTGGAAGATGCAAGGGACATCCAGGACAGTTCTGGACACCTCCAGAGGCCATGGCCAGCGCGGACCCCAAACAGTTTATCCCCAGGAGTACATGTGATGCGATCCATGTGATGCATCTATGTGATGCACTGTATGTGGTACTGGTTTAGTGATGCAACCTATGTTGTTCAATGGATGTGTTGCAAAGTACACGTGGTGCTACATACGTTGTACTATTTATGTATGTGGGGCAACCTGCGTGGGGCAACACATGTTGTGCAGTCGATGTGGCGCAATTATTGTAATGCGATTTATGTGGATCACTATATCTGATGCAATAGATGTGGTGTTATCTACGTGGTCTAGACAGCGGGCGGCAACGGGGCGTCGACGGCGAAAACGGAGCTGCCAGACCGACATTCAGGCCGGAGGACGGGCGGCGACGAGGCGGCGACTGGGCGGCGACGGCGAGCACGGAGCTGCCAAACCGACAATCAGGGCCAGACCCTAGAAGAGAAGTGCGAACCCCTAGTTGCAAGCACTGCTAGGGGAATATCGAATAGCAAACAACAACATCAACTTAAATTCTCTGAGGTCCGTGCGCATTTCAAGCACGAGGTGGTTAATCGAGGGGGGAGGAGAGGGTGTCGAGTTCGTTTTTGCGTTTGAAGTTCGTCGGGTTCTCCGGGTGTCTGGGATTCTGCGGAGGCTGCATGGAGAGCCTGGAGGCATCCGAGGAGCCCTGAAAACTTCAAATCGCGGAGACCACCAGGGGGCGCAGAGCAGAAGGGGGAGGGCAAGAAGAAGGTTGAGCATGACGAAGAGAAGGATCAAGAGGAGGATGAGGAAACATATATAGCGATCGATCGCAATGGCCCTCGATGATGGCAATATGGCAAGGGTCAGACCAGGGTGGCGCACTTGGCCTCACGAGGATCCACAACCTTTGCCACCTGGTCTGGCCCTCCTCGACGCAGGGCGGGTCTGCGGCGGATGGGGACAAACAGCAGCGGGCCTGCGAATGACGCCGCTGATGTCCGCCGCGGGTCGGGCGGGCGCGACGCTTTCCGTTCTCGCCCTCTCCGCTCGTTCTCCCCTTTCCCTCCTGTGTCTACCCCAGACGCACGACCCAAGGAGTAGCCATCGCACCAAGCGGGACAAATTCTGAGCACCAGCCTTCGATAAGTCAGCCTGGTGGCGGAAACCATCGGCGCCACGACACGGGAAGCTTGACGGGCAGCTTCACGGGCAGCTGGTTTACAACCGCACGGGGGACATTGATCGAAGCTGCCCCACAAGACGGGACACGTGTGCTGAGTCGCCCCAGCATCTCTCACATGTTTTTTTTGCGGTCACCTTCACGCGGACACTTGCTGTTCTAGGGGGGCGTGCCCATCTTTCTCGATTGCATCAAACACGGTAGCGAGCAACTGTGTCTTGCACCGCCACGTCATGGCATCTCTTGCACCGCCAAGTCATGGCATCGGCAAATCTACCGAGGACGGCATCCCGGCAGGGAACTTGACCTCAGACGCACGGTGCCCCGCGGCAGGATCGTCAATTGAATTTGCAACAAAGAGGCTTGGTGCAGTTCCTTGGGCAAACACTTTCTCCGCGGAGAGATGCGAGGGAATCTGCACCAGCACCAAGTCTCTCTCCTGAGCCAGCGAAGCCACACGCTTTCACAAATAAAGATGCGAGAGAGTCGGCGGAATTCGGCCAGCCTGAACGTTGGCAAGCCCTTCAGCGACATATGCCGAGTGGGCGCCCCCCGCGCTTGACCGACTGTTTCTCCGAGATGCCGCCCTCAGCCACAACGCAGAGCTTCAACTCGAGATCAGACGCGGCGAGGTCCTGCTCAACAGCCGTGACGCCCAACAAATAACTGTCTAGGTCTATCGTCCCGCAGGAACCCACCCCCGCTTGCATCGCCAGCGCCCCAGGCACAGGTGCCCCCGACGGGAAACTCCATCGGCGAGCGAGATGGGCCATCAGAGGCTGGCGGCACGCGGGTCCCAGACTTGGGGGTGAGGCCGTGGAGCCAGAAAATGGGGCGCTCTGCCGCTGCGCTGGCCCCTCGCCTCGCCAAAGCTTCCGACGCCTCCTGGGAGCCCGAACTCGCAGGGCGCTCATAGAACCGATAGGCGTCCGTCTCCAGTGCCGCGGCAAGTCTGCTTCTTCGAGGGGCGTGCGCCTGAGCTTGGCCAGATAGCGCCAACCGACGGCCGCGCCCACCCCTTCCTGAGCCCCCGCTCCATTCATGAATTGGATTCGATTGAGGTCGCGACCCTCTTGACATTTGAAGTCGCGACAGCTTGGGTTCGGAGCTCGTCGGGCACGGCGAAGGGATCTCCACCAGGAGCTTCCTACCGCTAATGTCCCTCGAGCTCCCATCCCCGATTCAACACTGTGGCGACAACAGCAGGCGCGGTACCTCTGATGTTGTGCCGCCGCCACTGCTTGGGCCTCGCTGAGTCGACCCGCCCCGCGGAGTCTTCCAAATTCTCGTGCAGTCTGTCAAATTCTTTACCGGGCGAACGCGAAACACTTTGGAACCAGGACTCTGGAAGCATAACAAGCGCGGAAAAGAACAGGAACGTTATGACCGACCTCCCGGGCAAGCAGGCAAGCGAGGAATCGGCTTGATGTCCCGCGCGCCAGTGTCGCAGCGAGCGCGCTCCTCCATTTCTGAATCACCATAGGAGCGACCCCAAACGCCTTTCAAGCGTGCGAAGCCTGCGGAAGGACGCCAGTTGACCTCCTAGGTTCGAGCCAGGAGGCCCGGGCTTGGGCTCGAAACTGGGCCTCCTGGGAGCAACCCTGGCCAAAGTGTTGTTGCGCTGCGGCAGGCCTGACTGGACCTCTCGGAGCGGCTGGGTTAGAACCCTTGGACCCCGCAACCTCGGTCAATGCCCGATCAAGGGGGCCGTGGCCACAGCCGCCTCAACCACCAGGAACCTAAAACCTTCCTGGTATTCCCTGGCAACCGGTGCGCCCGATGCAGTGACCTCAGATTTGTTGGCAAGTTTGAATTGCTCCTTCTGGCGCCCAGAAAGGCATCAGCTGTCGGCAGAAACTAGCTCGCGAATAACATCCCGCGCCACCCCTTTGCTGCGCGCTGGGTCACAGACTCTCCAAGGCAAGAGGATGGGCGGGAACATCTGGAGCCAACTGTCGAGCAACATGTTTCCCAACGGATCGCGTTGCATTTTGCTTCATCATCCCACGTTGTAGAAGCATGACCAATTCGGGCAAGGGCGATGCCAATGCAGCCTCGCCAGCGCAACATCTGAGCAACGCCTCGTGCACAGCATTGTTCCCCCGAGCCGCGGCGCCCCGCGGTCCCGCCCAAGAGTCGGCCCAACTTTCAGCGGGGCGGGTCACATGCAACTTCCAGACGACCCAATCAGGTGACGTGACCGATGGCGCGATCCTGGCGCGCATCAGGCTTAAGAAGCATAGCTATGAGAGAGGTGATCCACTGTCACGCCCAAGCAACCGGCCTCTCTAGCTCTTGGAACGACAGCGATGAGATCACGACGTGCAGCAGCAGGGGGCCACCGAACGCCCCGCTGGCCTGATTACAGTTTCGACGCCTTTAACTTTGTCAGGGGGGGATCCCGTGCAGGGCGCGCTCCAGATCCCTCCGTGAGAAGATCAAGCCATTCGCGTAAAGCTCGCTCAGGCCTCCTGGATGACAGCAACAGCCTTGGCCTCGTCAAATCTGCGAGGAGCCCACCACGTCGTTCATACCGAAATGCGGCTTCCATTGGGGACGTGGAGGAGAGGGGGGGGGGGGGGGGGGGGCGAGGAGGAGGAGGAGGCGGCGGGCAGCCTGTCGGGGCCGCGAGACTACATCGAGGGAGCCAGTTAAGCGCGCCGCCAAAGCGGTCGTCGCTCTCGCGCGGGCAGGGGCGGCACGCGCAGCATGGATGTTGGAAGGAGGGGTAATCGGATGTGTTTTCGCCCCACGGCGCGGCTTTGCAGAGGCCGCGTGCCGTGTGACAAGACAGGGCACCCCTCCGAAACAAAATCCAGACCGGGTCAAGAGACTTGCCCGTCTTGGGACGGGGCCCCCGGGCCGCATATTCAATTATCTGGCGCGGGGTCTGTAGAGCTCCAACCATTTTGTTTCGCGTCGCACCGCGCTTCCCCCCCGCGTCTCTCCTACCCCTCCCAAGCGATCCCCAGCGCCCAGTGGAACCTCCGCCCATTGCCCCCCTCCGCCCCGACCATTTTACTCCGCGTCGCACCGCGCCCCCCAATCCCCGCCCCGCTCCTAACCCATCCCCGGCGGCCGAGTGGAACCTCCGTCCAGTGCCCCCTCTGCCCCGAGTATCTCATTCCGCGTCGCGCAGCGCCCCCCCCCCCTCCCCGCGCCCCCCTATTCCTCCAACGTTCCCCGGCGGCCCAGTGGAGCCTCCGCCCAGTGCCCCCTCCGCCCCGACAGTTTTATTCCGCGTCGCACCGCGCACCCCCCCTCGACGCCCCCCTCCCGCCCCTCCCCATCGCTCCCCAGCGGCCCAGTGGAACTTCCGCCCTGCGCCCCCTCTGCCCCGACCATTTTATTCCGCGTCGCTCCGCCCAAGCGTTCCCCAGCGGCCCAGTGGAACCTCCGCCCAGTGCCCTCTCCGCCCCGATCATTTTATGCCGCGTCGCACAGCGCCCCCTCCCCCCCCGCAGTTCCCGCCCTCCCTACCCCTCCCCATCGGTCCAGTGCCCCGTCCGCCCCGTTTATTTTAATCAGCGTCGCGCCGCGCCCCCCCCTCCCCGCTCCCCCCTCCCCTGTCCTACCCCTGTCCCAGCGTTCCGCCGCACCTTTCCCCCTATTCCCCGCCCCTCCCCCTCATTGCTTCCCACCCTACCGCCCCCCAGCGGCCCCGTGGAACCTCCGCCCAGCGCCCCCACCCCCCCACTCCGACAATGCGATTCCGCGTGACGTCGCGCCCCGCCCCGCCACGCCTTTCCCCCTCCCCCCGCCACCTTCCCCCCCGCCCCAGCGTCCCCCAGCGCCCAGTGGAACCGCCGCCCAGTGCCCCCTCCGCACCGGCAATTTTATTCCGCGTCGCAGCGCCCCCCTGCCCCCCAGCGTTCCCCAGCGGCTCCGTGGGACCTCCGCCCAGCGCCCCCCTCCGCCCCGACCATTTTCTCCGCGTCGCACGGCACGCCCCGCCCCCGCCCCCCACCCTCCTTTTCCCCGGCGTTCCCCAGCGGCCCAGTGGAACCGCCGCCCGCCCCGTGCCCCCTCCGCCTCCGCTTCGGGCCCCCAGGGAGTTTGGTGGGTTTTCTGTCCTCGGAGCCTCCTCGAGCTCGCCTTGTCAAGCCCATTTTGCGGCCCATCGTTGGGCCCTCTTTTTTCAGATTTCTCGCACCCTATCTCACTTCCCCGTCCTCCTCCTTCACTTCCTCCTCCTCCTCCTCCTCCTCCTCCTCCTCCTCCTTCTACTCCCCCTTCCGTTCTGTGCACGATTCATTGCAAGCGTGCCACTTGTGTTGGTGGCTTGGGAGCTTCGGATTGACGGGTGTTCTGAGCTGCGTCTGCATTTGTCGCCAAGGCCTCGCAGATTCCCGTTCGGCAAAATCATGAAAAATGAGCACAGGGTACAGAACAGCACACAACCATATTGCTCCATCTCATGGCCTAGGGAACCGAAGTGCTCTTGAAGCACAGCCGAGGGCGATGCTTGGCCGTCGTCCAACTCAGGCCCCAGGACCCCGTCAGCAGTCCCTAAGGTCATGGGCACCGACCCCGACGACACGGGATTTCTTTTTGTTTGTTTCATCATTTCGGTCGGAGGAGAAGAAGAGGAGGATGAGGGGGTTGAGCAGGAGGAGGAGGACGAAGAGGAGGAGGTTGCGAAGGATGAGGGGTAGGAGCAGGAAAGGAGGAGGAGCAGCAGGAGAAGCGGGAAGAGCAGGAAGAGAGAACAGAGATGTGAAGGATGGCAGCAGTAGATGGAACAGGAGGTCGTCGGAGTTGTTCGGCCACTCGAGGTCGTGGCCAGAACGCGTCACAGGGTAAACTTGGGGGATGTCTTTTTTTTGATCGGATACTGTGGGGTTGGAAAGGGAACGAAGCCGAGTGGAAGATGAGGAGGCGGAGGAGGAAAAGGATGTGGTGGAGGAGGAACAAAAACATATGGGGGACGGATGACCGAGCATGTTGGTGGCGAATTCGAAAAGCGGGGTTTGGATGCTGTTGCGCAAGAGGACGATGGGGATCACGATAATGACGGGAACAGGCATGGCGCGGAGGAGGACAATTACGAGGAGGAGGGGGCCGAGGAGATGGATGGGATCCTTGATTGACGACCCATCCCTAGCTCTTGTCACCGTCCTCGCCCTCCCCCAGGATCTCTCCCCAGGGTATCCGAAGCCCTTCCTCATGCTCCCCCCGTTGCAATCGTTTTCTTGCACCCTGCGGATTCGCCCGGTTTCGGGCGCCAGGGTCCCCTACAGGCAGATTTTGGAGGTTGGGCGACAGTAGCAGAAGGACGATGAGCAGGGGGGAGGACTAATGGCAGCAGGAGGATGGGCAGGACGAGCAGCCACAACAGGGGAATGAGCAGAGAGATGAGGAGGACATTTGTGGCGGGTAGAATGAGGGGGGGGGACGACAAGGCGAAGATACCTGAATGCCTGACCCCTCCTCCCCCATCCCTCTTCCCCACCTGCACCCTCCTCCTTTCCCAATTTCCTCCCAACCATCTCCCCTCATGTGCCTGCTGTTGCTGCTGCTGCTGCTCCTCTTCCTCCTCCTCCTCCTCCTCCTCCTCCTCCTCCTCCTCCTCCTCCATCTCCTGCTCCACCTTTTTTTTCTCAGGAAGAGGAGGAGGATGGGGCTGGCGGGGAGGGAGGGAGGCAGCAGCAGCCGCAGGGGGATAACGGACGCGCCGAGGGCGACGGCGGCGGCGGCGGCCACGGCGACGGGGGCGGCGGCGACGGCGGCGGCGGCGACGGCGTCGACGATGGTGGCGGCGGCGGCCGAACGGACGCCAGGCCCGCCGCCGCCGCGCGACACGCCGCCGCGCGTCCCCACGAGGGCCCTGTCCCTGCCCGCGCTGGTGGCATGCTGAGCGCCAGCCTCCAGAATTCCTCCTCCCCCTGTTCCTCCTCCTCCTCTTCCTTCTCCTACTCCTCCTCCGCCTGTTCCTCCTCCTCCTCCTGTTCCTTCTCCTTCTCCTCCTCCTCCTCCCTTCCTCATCTCCCTCCTCCTCCTCCTCCTTTTCCTCCTTTTCCTCTTCCTCCTCCTTCTCATCTTCCTCCTTCCCCTGTTCCTCTACTCCCCCCTTCTCTTACCATTGGCCTCCTCCACACTTCCTTACATTTTCTGAGTACTACTCTCCTCTCCCCTTCAACCTGTCAGGAAAAGACCCGGCCCTCTCCACGCAATCTCTTACGAATATGCTTTGGAATTTTGATAGTTACCAGTTGTTTTCTCCAATCGATTATTCCTCAAACAGTGCGCGCACTAGAGCTTCTTAGTTCTTTTGTCAACAACTGGGCCCGAAGGGCGGCCTTGTGGCTATGTAGCCGCCGTCGCCGCCCCGTGCCCGCCTCATCGCCGCCCGTCGTCTGGGCCTGAAGGTTGGTCTGGCGGCCATGTAGCCGCCGTCGCCGCCCACCGACGCTACCCCGTTGCCGCCTCGTCGCCGCCCGTCGTCTGCCCCTGTTTGTTGGTCTGGCGGCTGCGTTGTCGCCGTCGGCACCCCGTCGCCGCCGTCGACGCTCGTGGCCGCCGTTCGAACGCACCTCATTTTGCATTGCAGTGCGTTGCTTCGCGCTGTCAACTGAACTGCTTTGTTTTATGTCGTGTTTCTCTGCGTTGCTAAACAATTGCGCAACATAGATTGCTCCACGTTGACTCTCCACTTTAACAACATATTCGTGTCTACCCCCCCGCTCCCACGGGGTTCACGGGCCACTTTTCTCGTAGTGCAATTTACACATGCGTCTTCCCCATCGTCCATCCGAGATATGACCTCAGACCATCCCAACCAGGCCCGACGTCGATTCCCCCTCATCCTTCTGCAAAAAATACTCTGTGCGCACACTCGTTTTTCAAGAATCATCTGTGTTCAAAAACCCTTGGCAAAAAGGACGAAGTGCGCACGCGCGTCGTCGCGCGCATGCGGGAATCCGATCAACAAACCTTACGTGTCTTAAGGATTTCAATGTTGAGATTTACGGGAGCAAAACAACATATGATTTCGCAACAAGGGTGTTCAATACCTGCGCGCTCGCGTTCTTGCGAATTCTTGAGGGAACTACGGTGTTTCAATATTTGTTTTGATAACATGCTACCACACGGGCCCCTCGCGCGCGCATGCCGACATCGTTCGAACGCTTACGCGTGTGCTGTCGCAAGAATCCCTTGCAACAGTTGGGACGAAGTGCACGCGCGCGCGCGTCGTCGCGCGCGCATGCCGAAGTCCTTTGAACAACCTGTACTTTTCGTCCGGACTTCAGAAACGAGCGTCCCACAACCCTACCGATACACATTGTTTTCCAACACCAGTTTTGAATTCTTTACGCTTCGCGTATCCCCACCAGCCCATCTCAAAACAGCCACTCTTGCGAAGCATGCCGACAGTCGTGTTTTTCAAGCGTGTTTCCGCCTGCCCCCGCATATCTCCCCTGTTCTTCCTTCCTCCCGCCTCCTTGTACATCCTCCTTGTGGTGGGAGCGGGAGAAGGACGAGGCGGAGGAGGAGGGAGAGAAAGCGCTCCTCGTGGTTTGAGTCGTTTGGGGGTTTTCGTCCTGGTGTGAGTCGTTCGGGCCCTTCTTCCTGGTGTGAGTCGTTCGGGCTCTTCGTGGTCTGAGTCGTTCGGGCTCTTCGTCCTGGTGTGAGTCGTTCGGGCTTCTCGTGGTGTGAGTTGTTCGGGCCCCTCGTCCTGGTGTGAGTCGTTCGGGCCCCTCCTCCTGGTGTGACTCGTTCGGGCTCCTCGTGGTGTGAGTCGTTCGGGGCCCGCGTCGTGGTGTGAGTCGTTCGGGCTCCTCGTGGTGTGAGTCGTTCGGGCGCCTCGTCCTGGTGTGAGTCGTTCGGGCCCCTCCTTGTGGTGTGAGTCGTTCGGGCTCTTCGTGGTGTGAGTCGTTCGGGCCCCTCGTCCTGGTGTGAGTCGTTCGGGCTCCTCGTGGGGCCTCTTGGGGGCCTCTTGGAGCCTCTTGGGGCCTCTTGGGGGCCTCTTGGGGGCCTCTTGGGGGCCTCTTGGGGGCCTCTTGGGGCCTCTTGGGGCCTCTTGGGGGCCTCTTGGGGGCCTCTCTTGGGGCCTCTTGGGGGCCTCTTGGGGGCCTCTTGGAGGCCTCTTGGGAGGCTCCTGGGGGCCTCTTGGGGCCATCTTGGGGCCTCTTGCGACCTCCTCAGAAGCGCAAAGAAGCGCTGCCCCCTGAGAAGGACAAAATGAGCCCAAAACCTTCGTAAAATCAATGATTTTACTATGAAGGAAGATGGGCGCGGCCCCCTCGGGAGGCCAAAATGGGGCCAAAACCCTCGTAAAAGCAAGGATTTTGGCTTCACAGAAGAGGGGGGGGATTTAAGTGCGTCCCCCCGTCGGGCGTAGAATCCTCGTGAGGGTCGTCGTTTTTTGGCCCCCCCAGGAGTCGAACAAGACCCCTCTGACGACCCGCCGGAGTCCCTCTCCAGGCCCAGGGGGAGGGGGTAGGGGGAGGGGTAAAGCCCTCCCCGAAGGGGAAGAAGGGGGGTTGAGGACAGAGAGAGCTCGCTAAACCACTCACGCCCAAAGGGCTGGTGGGATTACATTCTGCGCTCGCGGTATTGCGAAGTCTTAAGGAAACCATCGGTGGTCCAACATGTTCACCAAATTCTGCGAAGCGGGCCTCTCGCGCCGCATGTTGAACTCATTCGAACGCCCTTGCGCGCTACTGGGGAGGGGGCACGACCCGTGTCAAACAATACTACGCGAGCCACTCGCGCACGTCGGCCGCTCGCGCATGTCGAACTCTTTCAAATACTTTCATCGCCAGCGCGAGGACATTGTCATCGTTTCCCGCGTGCGTGATCAACATCGGCGCCATTGGCCTTGCCGTCGTCATCGCCACGGTTGTCACCATCATCGCTACTTTCAGACTCGTGTCTACCATTATCGGCGTCGCCATCTAGCTGATCGCGCCACCGCGGCCGCACCGTTCGCGCTAAAACTAGCAGGCCGCCGTGCGCGCAAGCATAGGCGGGCTAGCGCGGCCGCAGAGATGCACCAGCCAACGCCAAGCACTCATCGCAGTCGCCGCCGCATGGGTTTTGCAAACCTAGTTGCGGGTGGGTGGGTAGAATGTTTGCGAGGGCATGGAATTGGTCATTCCATTTTCGGAAATAGGATTTAACCACGCAGATTGAACCACCCAATAGACTTAACGGGCCCAGTGTCTGGCATAGCAATGTACATGCGATCCCGCACCATCGTCCATCCTACATTTGAAACCATTCCAGGCAGGCCGCTCCCCACTACTCTTCACCCATTGCCACAAATAGTGCGCGCTCTTGTTTATCAGAATTCAAAAGTTTCCACTAACCTTAGTTGATAAACTTTTTTAAACAAAAAAACGAAGTCCATACACGCGCGCCGTCTCGCGCGCGCATGCCGAAGTCAGTCAAATACTTTCTAGGTTCCGCCCGGTTTTTTGGCACGAACACAAAAACAACATTTGGTCTCGTAATCAGGAGTTCCAATATATATATATATACAATGTGTATATTTATATATATATATATATATATATATATATGTATAGCTCCTGCGCTCGCGGCCTTTTGCAGATTATTGAGAAAACCGTGCGGCTTGTGAGCGTTACCATAAGCTGCTACCGAGCGGGCCGCTCGCGCGCGCATCTCGACATCGTTTGAACGCGCTTGCGCGCGTACTGTCGCACACATCCCGTTCAACATATGGGGCGAAGTGCGCACATGCGCGTCGTCGCGCGCATGCCGAAACCTTACAAGCACCCGAAATGTCGTAAGGATTTCGAAGTCGAGTGCCCAGAGAACGGGTAAACACCACATGGTTGTGCAACATCAGTTTTCCCCAAAAATAATTGCGCTCGCGCTCTTGCAGTTTTTTTTGGGGGGGAAGCGAGCATTCGTTTGTTTTTCAACATGTCCATAGCATGCTACCGAAGGGGCCCCTCGCGCGCGCGCACGTGACGAAACCGTTCGAACGCACTTGCGCGCTTTCTGTCGCAAGAATCCCTTACAGCATACCGTACGATAAGCACACGCGCGCGTCGTCCTGCGCATGCCGCATTCCTTCACAAACTGTTGTGTCGTAGGATTTCAAAGCCGAATGCCCCGAAGCCATATACAAACACAGGGTTTTGCAAGATCAGCGTCCCCCCCTAAAAAAAGCGCTCGCGCTCTGCCGAATTGTTGTGACAACCATCATCTTTTTCATTCTGTTCATTCAATTCGGCCAAGCGGGCCTTTCGCGCCACATGCTGGCATTATTCGAACGCCCTTGCGCGCGTGCTGGGGGGCACGATCCGTGTCAACGTATACCATGCGGGTCACTCGCGCGCGTCGGCCACGCATGTCGAACTCCTTCCAAAACCTGCATCACCGTCGCGAAGACGCCGCCATCGTCTTCGGCGTGATCAGCGTCGCTGCCAGCGTCGCTACTGGCATCATCGCATCTACTGGCGTCGCCGTTGCCATGGTACCGCGCCCGCCTGGGACGTGCCCAGAGATTAGCGCTACTGCGGCCGCGTTGATCGCGCCAAAGTAACTGGCCGCTGCGCGCGCGAGCATGCGCGGGCTAGCGCGGCCGCAGAGATGCACCAGCCATCATCACGCACTCATCGCACCCGCCGCCGCATGCGCTTTGCCAAGCAAGTTGTGGGTGGGCGGGTGGGCTGATTGCGCAAGCAGTGGAGCTGACAATTGCGAGTTCCACACGCGACTTGCGCCACATGGGTTGCTCCACATAGAGTGCACCACATAGGTTGCTAGAAACACACGGCTTGGGGGCCCACGATGGTTAGAATGTTGTGGTGTTTCAGAATTGTGTTCCCGATGCAGCGTGGGGTTCATTTTCGGATCAGCGATTTGCCCCCATCGTTCAGAACG